GGGGCCAAGTCATTCGTGTAAATGAGCATTGCCCTAAAGTCAATGAAGCTACACAGATTAGTACCAGCACAACATGCAGCCTGAAGAGACATGACAAATGCAGAAGCAAAGGCTTTTGTTTAAAAAATATAGCTCCTGAGGCATTAAATAAAGCAGTAAGTTTTTAGGAAGAAAAGCAGCAACTCAGAAGAAGAGTGGGTGTGCATAATTCATAATAGATATATTTTGCCATGTGTTTGATCCAAACACGCCCACAGTCTAGCAAGACACGTGTGAAATTCCAGGCTGGAGGAATTTAAAATCCTAGCCCTATAAGGCTACAGATAACCGAATTATGTTATTACCTTGGTGAGGTCATGGACAACAGATACCAGATCAACCCTAAACCTGACTTTTCCTTCTTCTTTTCTTTTTTTTTTTTTAATAAAGAAATATTTCTGCAGTAGGCTAGGAAGGACTAAAGGCAATTGGTCTGGGTTCCAGTTTTGCTGGAATTTGTAAAATACAAGAGAAACTACAGGGAAGCAAATGAAGATAAATGTTTATGGGGATTTTTCCTAGTCTTATTCATATTGTAAAGCAGAAACAGTTTAGAGAGAAATTAATTTGCCCTTTCCTCTTTTCTATACTATGTTTCTATTAACCTGCTGAGGTGTCTAAGTTTGGGTGAGGGGGCAAAAGAAACAATGAGAAAGAAGTCAGCTAAAATTTCTCCCAGAGCGCATCTACACAAGATGCTATAGCACAGTAGCAATGAGCTACTGCGCCATAGCTCGTTGCTACAGCATCATAGCATTGGTGGTTACGGACCATGAGAGCGACATTACTGCGCAGTAGGATCTAAGAAAAGCTGTACAGGGACAGTACTGCGCAGTAACACTGGTTACTGCGCAGTTATTTAGTACTTGGTTAAGCAAGTACTTGTGTAGACACAGCCCCAAATCCGGAAATAGATTCAAACAGAGCTGGCAACACTAGACAGTAGCTAGATAGTGTGGATCAGCGATAACCCTGCCCTGGAGTGGCATAACTTTAAGCCACATAGGGCACATCCAGATATGTGTGGTCATTTGGTTGTGCCACAGCTACTTCTCCCTGGGCTACGCCCGTGCCACACGCACTTTGGTGTGCAGCAAGGTACCCCGGGGGTGGTAGGGGTGCTGGCCCCAGCAGCCTTCCCTGGGATCATGGGGGCCTCCCAGGGCCGCAGCCATCATGATCCTGCCAGCAGAGGCAGCATGACTCTGGACAGCCCAGCTCCACTTCTCAGCAGCTCATGGTGCCCAAGCCTGCGTTACTCTGTTTTTGTTTTTGTTTTTTTTTTTTTGGGGGGGGGGGTTCTTTTTTTTTGACCCCTGGTTATGCAGAGGTAAAAAAAAATACAGACCCCCACCCCGAGCAGCACACGCTCAGGCAGTGTGTCTTTGCAGCGCGGAGAACACCGGACTGTGCGGTATGCAGCACTGCAAACGTGTTTGCAGAGCCACATACCGCACAACTGCACTTGTCTGGATGCGCCCATAATGAGTGCTTAAAACCACTTTAAGGTGTTAATGTGTGGAAAGTCCACGGGTTAAGAGCTCCAGGAACTGCCCAAAATTACTGTGTAACAAGGCTCTAAATCTAGTGACAAAAGCCCCTAAGCTAGCGACACTGACCTCCAGCATCAAATCCTCTGTCCACTAGATGGGCAAGGTTCTTTGGGTAAATGTGACATCTTTTTTTAAGCCAACTAAATACTTGGAATAAAGGTCTTTGCAAGCTTTCAGGCACAAGCACCCTTCTTCAAGCATTGGGAGACTGCTGTGGAAAAAAACTCCATGAGATGGCAGTAGAGGATCGGGTTTGTCTTCCCCCGCTCCCTTTTTCCTGTTTTTCAGAGAATGCCTTTAGGCTAGCCCATTAAAATTTGGGAACCCCACTGTTCCTGGAAGAAAGCCAGTCATTTAGCAATACTGCAGTACTACCAGCACATGCTTGCAAGGAAGGGAATCCAAGGAGAAGAGCAGAACACAAGGAGTGACTTTGATAATAAAATTTGGTGCTTCTCCAGGTGTCCTACCTATTGCTATAGCAGGAGCAGCTGGGTGCAGGGAGTCCATGATCCTGGTGTTGCAGGTAACACTGAGCCACCCTCACCTCCTTGCTCGGAGGCACTCAGCACCCCCTCCCCTTAGGGCTTGGTTCAGACTCAGCATCTCCCCAAACCCTAACAGGGTTTTGCCAGGGTGCAAAACTTGCTAGTTAGGCCTCCAATTTGGGGATCAGATTCAGCAAAAGATGAGCAAAGAGCAGGCGATTGGGGTGGGGTGGCTCACAGCAGCCTGTAGCAGGAGGGATACCGTGGTCTTTCACAGCACTCCCCGTCTCCTGCTCTCTTACCCACTATTTTAATCACTCACTCCACTTTATACTCTGCTCCCTGCTGTCCTTTCACAGCATCTAATGAAGTGAATTCGAGCTCAAGAAAGCTGGTACTCTCTTTTTATGCATCTTATTTAGTCTCTAAAGATGCATATCTACCCTGCCTTCCAACTGAATTCCTATTCCCATCTGGTGTAGGACTTTGGACCTGTCACTCAGAAGCACCTACTATACCGACTTCTGCCTTGGCTTCTCCTGGGAGCAGCAGGCATGCCACTCCCTGCCTATAGGCCCTACATGTGCATATACAAGGAGGACACTTGGAAGGTTCTTTGCTCAGGCTTCCCTGACCGGCCTATGGGGAGTACAGCTGGCACTCATTTGGTTAGAAGGTGGTACCTAAAGCCCTTCTATAACTCTTAATATCAGAAACCCTTATTTGTTCAGCAGCAGGTTGTCAAAGGCACGTATGACTTCTGATCACCTTTGAAACATCTGTTCCCCTATGCCTAACCTTGGTGATGCCAAGCTACATGCACGTGTGCATGCATGCACGCACACACACACACACAGAGCCGGCCTTGGCATTTGGCAGCTGCCCAGGGCACCATGGTCAGGGTGACGCCACACACACACACACACACACACACACACACCCCCATGAGCAGCCCATGCTCACAGCAGTGCTCTCCCCATGCCCTGCCTTAGCCGATCCCAACCCCAGGCAGGAAGAACAGGGCCAAGCCCACCCCCTGCTTCCACCCACTGCTCAGGAGGAACTGGGCCAGGCAGTACAGGTGGCAGCAGTGCCTGTCTGGCATACCATGCCACTCCACCTTCCCGCTGGACTGTGCCCCACACTCCTGCCTGCCTGCCTCTGCCTGCAGCAAAGCCACTGCCTTTGGGGGAAGGAAGTGCCCCCCCAAAATACAAGTTCACCCAGGGCACCATTTTCCCTAAGGCTGGCTCTGCACACACACACACACACACACACACACTGAGAATTTGCTGAAAGCTTTTTAGCGTAAAAGTGTTTTGCTTAGAAAATGGACCACTTTTACCATAACCTAAACAAAGGCCCCTTTGGAAAACACAGGTGTTTTCATGAAGTGTTCAGGACCCCTCTGCACCAGGGTATGTGGGTTGCCCACCACAGGCTCCAGGCAATCACTTTCATTGGAGCCTGCCTCTAGAAACATGGTGGTAGCAGCATTTGCAAGTTGAGCAGAAGGGAAGTTAATGAACTAATTTGCAAAGGAGGATATTGGCTCCCAATGGTCAAGTTGCTATAGCTATAACTGGGCATTCTTTCAACAGGGCATCCCACCGAGTGTGGGATCTTACCGCTGATCCTTGATCAGAGTGGCAAAATGTTAATATACAGTAACTAAGTTATCAATGTCTCCAGTTCATTTTCAAGTCAGTCTCCCATTCCTCATAGCTTTATGGGGCAAATGCTAGCTTGACTACCTGACCTCATACCTGAGGAGGTTCACTACACCCCAAATCCTTTGCATGGTAAGATGCTTAAGCCACAGGGTAACCCATACCCTGAAAGAAGAACCATGGAAACCTTTATGGATTTACCAAGAAGACCACAGAGTCCCTCTGAGGTTTTTCTAATGATTTCTCTGGAGAGCACTTGCCTTCCTATGCAACTGCTTCTACAGAGCAAGGGCAGTTTCCTTTTAGGACGAGGATGCCCTTTGCCAAGGGCTACAACCAGTGTCAGGTGGGTTTTGTCACAGAGGACAAGAATTAATTATCTGAGGGTTCCCCTTGAAAGCTTAAGACAGTGGCTTAAACCCTCTCCCAAAAGCCTGGAAAAATGAAGTTACCTGCTCCAGACATTCATAACTGTTAACAGATCCCCATTAGCGGGGACTGAATCCAAGGACTCAATACCGAACTCAGTTCTGGGTTCCCTTCTTCCCACCCCCAATAAATTTAGGAAAGTCGGAACGGAATAATTCAAGAATATGGTAGGTAGGACTTTCAGCTTCCAGGGTGTCTTGGAAGCAGTCAAACTCAGATCCTACTCTGATGGTGGAGAAAGGCCAGGCATCACTATTTCCCTCTTTGCCTGAAGTTCACTGCATTTACTGTCCAGGACTGATAGGGTCTCAAACTCATAATGTGCCGTCTTTGACTATGAAGACAAGTGTTGCTTGGGCTGCTCCAGGAGCTTGACCATCCAACCCCACTGTACCGCATCCTCGGGGTTGACTCAGCCCTTGCCAACGGGAATACAAACATTTCCAGTTGGAGAGTCATGTCACCAGGAAGACACCTGAAAGGCACCTTCCCTTCCCCCACCTCTCTGTAGCCTTACCTAGCTTCCTTCGCCCAACTTCACCAGACTGATTAGGGCTTCAGGCCACAGGCCAAGAGTCAGGGGCGTCCCACAGAATTTGGAAGTCTTCCCCTCACCCCCAAGAGTGGATATCACCAGTCCCCATTATTTACCTACACCCCCTTCTTCCACTGGGAAGATCTGCCAGAAGCCAAGTCTGCATGGTGGCTCTAACCATCTTTCACACTGTGCCCAGAAGCACCAGACCTAAAATCTCTCCCACCGCAGAATACCCCCTCTTCCCAGCTAACAGCAAGGATTCAGCACTAGCCCAGGATTCTGTTTTTATTCTTTATTGTGGAAGTCGGATGACTTAAGCCAAGGAGCTGGAACGGCCACATTTTCTGTGTATGAGAACAACTCCTAGGGCAATGGCAGCCAGAGCTACAGCTGCAGCCATAGTGACCAGCCCCACCATCATGCCAGGCTTCTCTGCTGCACCTGCAAGGTAAAATGAGGCCATTAGAACCAAAACCACAAGTTTTTCAGGCAGGGAACATTTGTGGGGGCACCTTACCCTCCAATGTCTCCTCCTGATCTTCTGAGACACCCCGTGGGCCTTGGTCTATGCTTAGGAACAGGGGTCCCACCACAACATCCACTTCCACTTCCTTTTCTGAGGAAAGATCTAGATCAAGGGTGGAAGAGAAACTGGTCAGTAAGTAGCCCAAGACAGGGCATGTTAGTATCCCATGAAATTGTTACTGATTTAAAAAACATTTCTGTTCCACGTGTGGACACAATCATGACTTCACCCAAGTAGAAAAAGTCAGGGAAAGACTCCTCCTAGAATAATGACTGTGATTGAGGCCCTTTCCAGGGACATGAAAGATTCAAATTCAACTCCCTGCTCTGTAACATGCAAGCCAGGGACTTTAATCTGGGTCCCCCACACCCCAGGGGTATGTTCTGATTGCTGGGATATTGGTTCTTTCGGAAATTATTATTTTGACTAAGTTTCATCCATGTCAAAAATCAGCAATTAAAAAAAAATAATAACCATCTCATCTGACAATTCCTCACCAGCTTTACCAGAAGGTCCACGGTATTCATTTAGTCAGGCCCTGGATTTGGGACACAGTCCCTGTGTCATAGGCAGAACTGTATCCAATTAGAAAAAGATTGGGTTGCTCCAATTAATGCCCATGCACTCTGTAGAGCCCTTACCAGGTGTAGGGGACACATCTCTCCTGAACCGCCTTCCTGCCCATCTGTCCAGATGATTGATTCTTCTAGAGTGAACAAGCAGCCCACAGTTTCTAGTCTCACAGCAGCTGCAGATGTCCCTGGTGCCTTCGACTGGAGACCAGCTGGAACAGAAGAAAGAGGAAGATCACCTAAATTAGACTGTGCCTTTCTGGGCTCAGGCAAGGGTCCAAACTCTTGTAAATCAGGCTTTTCAGACTCTACCATGCCAAACCCTCCCGTGTCTCCCTACATTTAAGTTAGTTAAGAGAAACTCGGCCAAAGGGAACATAAAGAAAAAGAAGAAAGGATTATGTTCCTATCAGCAACGCAATTCCTGTTAATCTGTGGGAATCTTTGCCACCAAGTTTTTTTCCTTCTCCATTCACTCCATGAAAGCATCTTGTTTGTGGGGCAACTAGCTTAAGAAGCAATGTGCCCTCTCGCAGTGCAGTTCTTTTGACTGATATCATTCATGAGCTACACGAGACTTACATGCACAGTACACAGTTCACCTCAGATAAATTCTTCATTTCATGCACACAGCCAAGGCATTCAGGAGAGAAAGATTTAGCCCTACCTCTAGACACAGTCTATAGGTCAGAGCATCTTTTTTGCAGCATATGTCCATGATTTACAGGCCAGCTACTCACATGTTGCCTGCTTTGTTGAAGGAACAAGCTTTGTTCAAGGGATCTGGGACTTGTTCAACTGGGGTGACCTTCAGATGGCAGGTAATATAGATCTGGAGGATAAGTGGAAATAGGAGTGTTAGGATTGTCCTAGCAACACCAACATCTGCTTAGTTTGGTTTTAGGGAGGAGGAAAGCAAAACTCACCAAGTTACTGGCATCTCCTGAAAACCTGAACACATCAACCGTGAACCGAAGCATGTCCTGTCTGGGCCTTGGGGTTATGAAGGCTGAGCTAGCATCATCCAATCTTCCATCTACCAGGCAACTAGACACAAGAGAAAGGGGTCAATAGGATGCCCTCCCAAGGGCAGGAATCTAGGGCATTACATTAGTAAATATCCTCTAAAACAGCATTTCTCAACCCATAGGTCGCCACCCAAAAGGGGGTCGCAAGAATATATGAAAGGGTTACGAACAAACTTTAAAAATATATTCTCCTTTAAAGGAGAAAAATGTGGGAAACTATGGCTTTTCCCTTGCAGGATGTCAGAGTTTCAGCCTTCAAGGGGTTGCTTGGGGCCCCCCCACCCCATCCCATCCCCCTACCCCCTGCTCCATACACTGGGGGGGCTGAGGCCTTTAATGTTTACTAATGGGTTCTGGTACAAAAAAGGTTGAGAAGCACTTCCCTAGGAAACAGACCCCAGGTCTTACCCATTGAAGTCAATAATGGAATAGTGGGGTGAGGCTTCTCTCTCTGGGGTCAGGGTAGCCACACAGCTGTCTACAAACAGCCTCAAACCCATGTGGCTCCCAGTAGTGACTTCAGCTTGGATGTTCAGGACATCCCCTAGCTGGAATCCAGTGAAGGGTCTCTCAGCACTCCAGTCATCTGCAAGGCAAGATCACCATGAATCCTACAGGCAGAAATGTGGGCAGTTTGTTTTAGGCCTCCAGCTCCTGAATTGTTTTTGAAGTTCAGGACTGGTTTGGAGAAGAGCCAGCATTTGGAGACGCAGATGTGTTTAGAGGGAAACTGGGCACATAAGAGTCACAGATGGGACGCAAACTTGTAAGGATGAACTCACAGGGCTCCCAGCTGAAGAAGTGGGCTGGGATGTACTGCAGGGCCCCTGGGCAGCCAGGTCTTCTTCCTGCACACCCTGCAATTCCTGGCTGGCCAACAAGTGTCACTACCCTGCTTTGTAATAGAGCCTAATGCTCCAGCAATACAGAAAGTCCGTTCAAAGCTACAGAGTGATGCATCCTGTCACACCAGGCAAGAAGGTAGAATGACTTCCCACCTACCATTCATGAGGCGCAAAGAGAAAGCCAGCCTCTCCTCTGCAGACACGGTAGAGACAAAAGGAGCCCATGTTGGCTTGATGGCTTTGCTGCTCACATTTTCCTTCCTGGAGAAGGAAATCAGAGCAATTAAAACAAGACCTGACAATGGTGACCAGAGACACGGCACAGGACTAAGCATGTCTCTTACCTGGGGTAGTGGCACTCAATAGGAATGGTAGTGGGGTTGGTTCGTATGATAACTGCATTGGCTGCAGGGGGGGGATTGTAGCTCTTGACTGTGCGGTAGACCAGAGAGTCTGGAGTCATCTGGAAAGAGACAGATATTAAAAGACTTGCAGCAGAGTCTCCAGAGTTCTAGACCAATTTAATGCAATTTAATAATCACCTTCCCTATTAAGTGCTTTTATCTTTTACAAATGAAACATGTCAAAATGAAGAGTCAAAATGGGAAGGAACTAAGGGGAGTCTAATGGATATAATTCACACCTGCTTTGAGGGAACTTTTATACCAATTTCAACTCCACTCCATATTGGTACCGTGTAAAACACATGTAGGGCACCAAAGCAAGGACTAAGCCTGCTTTAACAAGCCTTAGTGAACATCTGGGTATCTTTGCAATACTAAAGCTTGCAAGTCCTGGTCAAGTTTAAAACTTTGGGGTTAATTCAAAGTGAGCAGAGAACCAACATAAGGTCCATGTGCCACTCAAACCCTGTTTCATGAGCGTTGCTGCTCCTTGGGCCCGGTCATGCTCTTATGGCAAGATTCATTCCTCTGCAGGAGAACAAATATATAGTTACTGAATGACATTATGGTTCACAATGATAGAACAATACTGTACCGAAACATATCAGTGCCTTATAGTCCAAACTGCAAGGACCCACAGCAACCTGATTGTAGCTGGGTCTGCAAATAGTTAGGAACGAAGAGGTAGGAAGTGATTTTGTGTTTTATCAGAGGGAGGGGGAAGGGGAAGCACAGCATATGTCATTTATTTTTTGTTCTTCCTCCTCTTGTGCTAGCAGCAGCATATGTAATTCCTGATCACTCTAAAAGCACCTTGGCAGAAGACGCCCATATCCCAGTGTCTGCTGATGGCACTGAAGTTCACACAAATATTCTGTTCCTGGAGAAATTAGTAAACTGCTGCAAAAGGCAGCAAAGAAAAGGAAGTAATTTTACCTTTTCCCCTGTGATTCTCTGTGTATGATTGTGGTGGCAAAGGAAAAACCTTTAGTAAGACAAAGGCCAGACTAACCTTGAAAAGCTAGCCCTAATTCTTGAGTGCCCTTTCTAACAGAGATATAAGTCTGGGGCAAAGTTTTCATAGGAGATGTAACCTTCATTTCCCACCTCATTTCATGATTATTTGTCACCATTAACAGCATGGTACTTACAAAGCAGAACACCCCTTACTAGGCTCTTTGGGGGTAACATAGGAAGGCACAGCCCCTCATTTAACAAGCTTTACTAGAGGACAAAATTAGAATTAAATGGATCCTGATCCTTTAATTCCATGTATCAGAGTCTGAGCTAGAAAGCTACTGCTATAAAGTGACAACAAATGCACAGTTCAAGCAACAGTTGCTCCCATCATCCTAGTACCTTTCTTCTACATGGCATCTCCCAATTAAAGCCCCCTTTTTCTTCTGGAGTTGCTTAGCTCCTTCAGTTTCTCAAGGGTATTTTAACCTTGCTGCAAAAGAGCATTGCCTACCTTGTCCTCCTGCTTTACCTGTTCAGGTGTTTTGTCTTGTGGTTGTGTTCAGAGTTGTCTGTTTAGTTTTGCTAAGAGGTTAAACAATGGATTTGGATAGGATGATCCTGCCTTTGGCAGGGAGTTTAGAAATCAAAGCCCATTATCTGCTTCACTCTTAGATGCCTCACCCACTACAGCACCAGCCTACATGAAGAAAGAGTGCTGTGGAAAGGGCAGAGCAGCAAGGGCTGCAAGGAGTGATAAAATGTTTCCTAACAATTAATGTGAAGCTTTATAGGCCCTGAGTGAAGAGGCACTGTGGATAGGACTGCGAATGCCGCAGAACCAGCAGCCACAATGCTGTTTGATTAAGTGTAATGTCCCCTTTGTACTCTGCAGTTGCTTTAGCACTCCAAGTGAGATAGGCTAGTAAGTCACCTGGAGCGGAGCCATATATCAGCACGGTAATATCAGCAGGTAAAGCACAAGTACCCTGGGGTGCTCAACCTAGGAGTCACAGCCCCTCTTTTCCCTCACCCCCAATCAGGTCTCCTGGTCAAACCCCACACTGCACCGTCCCATATTGCTATGGTGCCCCAACACAAGAAGGATGCTTTGAGCAGGTAGAGACTAAGAGCATCTTCTTGAAACCCACCTACTGAAGATAGGCTTGGATGTTCCACCCAAGTGCACAAAATATTGATTTGGAGAGGGAAATCTTCTCCCAAGACAGCTCCCCACAGCCCTCCCTCCACATCCTTGAGAGCTCACCAGGATTCCTTTGCTGCATTGTAAGCTGTATTCCCATTACACTCGCACGGGCTCAGACAGGACATAGAGATCTTCATCTTATCTTCAAGGGATAAGAGATCAGAACAGCCCCACACCACTCGCTGGTCCGTCCCTACCAACCATGGTCATTAATTCATAAGCACTAAGCCACCAGTTTTTTTCAAACACTGCAAAGTACCCAGGAGGTATTGCTGTACTGCCCACAGACATCATGGATTAGTATCTATAAAGCAAAGAAGCCAAAGCTGTTCTCCCCGCTGAGAGGAAAAAGCAATCCTCCAAGTGTGAACTGCTCTGTTATAAGACAAAGCCTTACCTGCACAGTGCTGCCACATTCATGGAGCCCTGCTGCAAAGGTCACGGTGTTGTCCACAGGATTTAGGGAAGTGTACTTGCAGGAGACTGGGCCCAGGCTCAGGTCAGCAACATTGATCAGTCTCCCTGTCCCAAACAGATCCCGGTTCACAGTGATCACCATCTGAGCCTCTTGACATTGCACTGACACTGGCTGTGTTGTGGGCAGACCCCTGGAGTGGTAATCGTACAGGCCAGCCCAGGAGTAGGGCTGCGCAAGAGAAGGCACGCTGGACTGCCGCCAGGAGAAATCAGCTCGGGGTGAGGGTCTCCGGCTCGCTGAGTCACTCCTGGAGAAGTCCCAAGGGTTGTAACAGGCCACCTCAGTGAGCACCCAGCACAGGAGAGCAAACCCCAGGCTACTTTTGGACCCCATCCTACTTTGCCTGACTCCAGCAAACCTGGCACAGAGAGAAGCAGCCTATTGGGAACTCTTTATATGCTGAACCTACAGCAGCTTGCACCAGGTAATTAATGTCCCTCCCCCTAAACCGTGGGTAGCCAGTGCCCAATCACATCCACTGTCCAGCCCCAAGGGCAGGGAATAATGAATGGGAATCAATACCACTGGGGAGTTGGTTCTGGTGCGCAGAGGCTGGACTCTAAGTTGTCCAAAGTAATAAATGTCCGACTCAGCCTGTTCAATAGAATTGTTTAGAAAAGTCAGCAGAAGTTGGAGACACATAGACTGGGACAAACTGCATTGTTTAGGTTAAAAGAACTGTGATAAGAGATTTTCAAGGCTCCTGGTAAAGTCACGGGTTGATATGGCAACAAGTTGAACAAGTCCAGAACTGAGAGCCAGGGGGAGGGGTGCATTGAGACTTATACTCAGCCAGCTTTCCCATCACAGCTGTCACCCTCCCCATCCCCTGGGACCCCAGGATCCAGGATAGTATTGGGTCTCCATCACCCTGATCCTGATGGGCTTTGGGATCTTATTCCACCTATCAGATATCTGAGAGGTGTTTAGGCATTTAAGCAGTACTTAGGCACCTAAGCATGATCCTACTCCACCCTGCTCAAGAACCTGAAAAAAATGTTAATGCTAAAGGCTGATGGGTCCTCCTCTTTCATGCTGCTTGTTGCAACTTAGTTTTAAGACATGGCAAAAAAGTGATGAGGCTCAAAAAGAGATTAAACAAATTTGTGGAGGGCAGGCCCATCAGGGGCTATTAACACAAGAGAGATCTCACCTTGGCTCAAGACATCCCTAAATCTATGACTGCTGGTCCCTGGGAGGGTGTGACAGGGTAGATTACTCAATATACGCCCTGTTTCTTATACTTCTTCTATAAAGCACCCACTACCCACAATGAGAGATCCATCCAGTTGGCAAGATGGACTTTGGTCTGACTGAGTGCACGAGTTCTTCTTTTATAAAATAAATGTGTCAGCAGCTTTTCAGACACTCAAGCAATGTGGGAAAGGATCACACTGTGCCACTGAGTTGCCTAATAGGTAGAACAGGATTTGGCCTGTTGTGATCAACAGGGAGAAAGGGACTTAACGGTGGGGGTCTACTACAGGCCACCCAACCAAAGGGAAGAGCTAGACCGGGATTTCTTAAGTCATCTCACAGAGGTAGTTAAGTCAAAAGACGTGGTCATCATGGGTGACCTGAACTTTCCAGACATCTGCTGGGAAGAGCAGTCAGCCAGGTCTGACCACTCACATAGGTTCCTAGCCGAGATACAGGACCTCCATCTAACTCAGGAGATGCACAGCCCCACCAGGAGAGACGCCTTGTTGGACCTGGTCCTGGCCACAGGCGATGACCTCATGAGGGGTCTGTGGGTGCTCAACCACCTGGGCGACAGCGATCATGGCCTACTGGAATTCACCATCCAGCGCAAGGTGGCAAAGGCCTGCAGCAAGGCAGCAGCCCTGGACTTCTGGAGGGCGGATTTCAATGAGGTAAGGAGAATAGTCGGGGGGGCACTGAGGTCCCGGAGGGGAGGGGAGTTGGGTGTCCAAGAAGAGTGATCGTTCCTTAAGGAGACGATCCTCCAAGCCCAAAGGGAGATAATCCCAACACGGATCAAAGGGGGCAAGAGGGCGCAAAAGCCCCCATGGCTCACCAAAAGCATACAGGAACGTCTCCTAGCTAAAAGGGAGACGTACACCCAATGGAAGGGAGGGGCCATCCCCAGGAAGGACTACACCTCAGGTGCTCGGGGCTGCAGGGGGGCGGTCAGGAAGGCCAAGGCAGAGATGGGACTGGGACTAGCAACCCGGATCAAGGACAAAAAGAAGTCCTTTTTTAAATACATAGGGGGCAAAAAGAAGGTACCGGGTAACATGGGGCCTCTGCAAGACACGCTAGGAAATCTGGTTGTCGCACCAGACGACAAGGCTAACCTATTTAACGATTTCTTTGCCTCCATTTTCCTGAGCAGGGACTGAACCAGCCCGCCCCCTGGGACCCTCTCAGGACCCAGGGGAGGTGCACCCAGGCCTAGGGTCAGTGAGGACCTAGTCAGGGAACTTCTGGAGGGACTGGACTTGTTTAAATCAGCAGGTCCTGACGACTTCCACCCCAGAGTGCAGATGGAATTAGCAGAGGTCATTGCGGGACCCCTGGCACGGCTTTACGAGCACTCGTGGTGCTCTGGTGTGGTGCCAGAGGACTGGAAAAGGGCCAATGTGGTTCCCATTTTCAAAAAAGGGGGAAGGAGGACCCAGGAAACTATAGGCCAGTTAGTCTTACCTCAATCCTGGGTAAGCAGGGAAGGTTATGCTTAGGGGCAACCAGCATGGGTTCATTCGAGGCAGGTCCTGTCAGACCAACCTGGTGGCCTTCTATGACCAGGTCACAAAATCCTTAGACACAGAGGTAGCAGTAGACGTAGTCTTTCTGGACTTTAGGAAGGCCTTCGACACTGTCTCTCACCCCATTCTCATTAAAAAACTAGGAGACTGTGGCGTTGATATCTACACAGTCAAATGGGTCACTAACTGGCTGGAGGGCCGCACCCAGAAAGTGGTGGTGGATGGGTCCTATTTGACCTGGAGGGATGTGGGCAGTGCGGTCCCCCAGGGCTCAGTCCTCGGACCTGCACTGTTCAACATCTTCATCAGTGACTTGGATGAGGGGGTGAAAAGCACCCTGTTCAAATTTGCTGATGACACTAAGATGTGGGGGGAAGCGGGCACGCTAGAAGGGAGGAATAGGCTTTTAATCGGACCTGGACAGGTTACAGGGGTGGGCAAATGAGAACAGGATAGGTTTCAACACTGACAAGTGCAAGGTGCTGCACCAGGGGAGGAAGAACGAGCAGCATACCTACAGGCTGGGAACTCCCTTCTTGTCAGTGCAGAGGCAGAAACGGATCTTGGAGTCATTATTGATGCTAAAATGAACATAGGCCGACAGTGTGGGGACACGGTCAGGAAGGCCAACTGCACTTTTTCATGCATCCACAGATGTATCCCAAGCAGGTCCAAGGAGGTGATCCTCCCCCTCTATGCGACACTGGTCAGGCTGCAGTTGGAGTACTGCATCCAGTTCTGGGCGCCGCACTTCAGGAGGGATGTGGACAGCATGGAGAGGGTCCAGAGGAGGGCCACTCACATGATCAGGGGGCAGCAGGGCAGGCCCTACGAGGAGAGACTATGGGACCTGAACCTGTTCAGCTTCCACAAGAGAAGGCTGAGGGGGGATCTAGTGGCCTGTTATAAACTAGTCAGAGGGGACCAGCAGGCAATGGGGGAGTCCCTGTTCCCTCGAGCACTACCAGGAGTGACTAGAAATAATGGTCACAAGCTGGCAGAGGGTAGATTCAGGCTAGACATCAGGAGGTGCGACTTCACAGTCAAGGCGGCTAGGACCTAGAACCAACTTCCAAGTGAAGTGGTGCTGGCTCCTACCCTGGGGGTCTTTAAGAGGAGGTTAGATGAACACCTTGCTGAGGTCGTTTTACCCCAGTACTTTTTCCTGCCATGGCAGGGGGTCAGACTTGATGATCTGCTTAGGTCCCTTCCAACCCTACAAACTATGAAACTATGAAACTATTAAATCAGCCTGCCACAGGGAGAGGGACCCAGTGACATCACTGGTCACCTTCACTGGGTTTGGCCAAGTTGTATTCCAGGTGCTGTTCAGGGGCTTTGATTCCTTGCTTTCATGCCCTCTTCTGTCTCTCTTTTTCCTTCCCCAGCTTATTCCACTGAGATCATTCAAGTCCATGACTAGGAAGGCCCCAAGCAGCCTACCAATAGTACAAGCTTGTCAGATCTCAGAGGGGCCAACAGGCCCACTGTTTGTGCCTTTGCCACTCCAAAAGGGAGGTTGCAAGTCAGGGTCCGAAGCTGCCTTTTTTTTTAATCTGTGCTATTCTTCTCTGTTTCTTTGTGCATGTGTTTATTTTGTTCTGTTCTCAAGGAAACAGGATTGGACTATAATAACCAAGAAACAATAGCAGTTCCAGCCCATTCAAGCTGCTTTTTATATTCCTCCCTCTCAAAATAGCAGTTTTGTCCATCTTTAAAAGCATGTAAAAGAGGGTCAGCCAAGAGGGTTTCCCCAAAACTCACTACAGCTGATGGGGAAAAAGGACTGAGAGATACTGTTCAAATGAAAGCCTCACTTCACAAGCAAATGGCTTGAAATCATTTTGCTTTCTTTTTCTCTATCTTCAATGACAAGTTTAAAAGATTCCTAATGGCAGCTTTTACAGTGGGAATAAGCCAGAAATGACACTACACACAACCTCAGCCCACGCTTTGCTGTTTCACATTGCAACAGAGGACGCAAGATCTATTAACATCTTCTCTGTTTCTGGGCCTGAGACACCCATTTTTCCCAATACAACAATTCTCCTTCTGAGTTTTAGGACATTCCTGGAGATTTTTAGGTGATTAGTGACAAAAATACTCTAATTCGGAAGATAAAAATGGAGTTATGTGCTGGAGAAAGAGATTGATGTGTAAAAAAGGATAAGGTTGGAAGGACCTATTGAGACAGAGAATCCACTACCCTTCAGCAGGCAAGCCTGTCACACAAGTCCCTTCATAAAATGGTCATGCACCAACTGAGCTCTCCCAGCATTTACTGCACTGACTTTTTAGACACCACCTTGAAACTCAAAGTGCCATTTGCTCCATGCTCGCACATCTGAGCTTGGGACGTATTTTGTCTGACTAGCGGCTCTTTACAGAATCCACCTGCCACCCACACGCCAGCATCTTGCACAGATCTGTAGTGCAAGCTAACACAAAAGCAGCCTTTGCATTCAACATGGAATGAAATCCCAGCTGTGCTGAAGTCAGTGGCAGTCATTTGACGTCAGTGGAGGCAGAATTTCAGCCATAATGTTTAAAGTACTCTGAGATAAAACGATCTATACAGATGTAAACTATTATAGTTATACAGGCATTGATTGGAACATACTGTATCAGGAAGCCTTCTTTATAAGGACCTTATTCTGGAAACAAATTGACTCTAGTATAAGAGAATGTTAATGACTGAGACTCAATCAGTAAATAAGTATCATCCCCTTTATCAGCGAGGAAACAGCATCAGCA